TGGGCACTGAATGCCCAATACAAAGCATTGTGCTAGACACTCAGGGAAAAATGCAAAAAGCTGGAAATGGATACAGTCACAGCTATGTGAGAATTTTCTTGTGATGAATAGAACAGGCAAATACCACAATAGGATGTGGAAGAAATGTTAGTGAAGAAAAAAAAATAGTCCTTCCTCTGGTACAAAAGTGGATCCCAGGGTGGAGAACAGTTTTCAAGTCTCAATTTCAAATGTGATAGAACATTGTCGGCAGAAGGTGTTGACTTTCTTATCCCCAAAGTTTAGGAACATTACCTTATATGCTGAAATAGACTTTAAGGGTGTGATTAAGTGAGGAGATAGGGCTAAAGGTGTTCTTGCTAGTTATCTAGATTAACCCTAATTAAATACATGTGCCCTTATTTGACAAAGAGACAGGAAGAAGGTCTACAAAGGGGCAACAGTGATGGAAGCAGCCAGAGCCAGAGCTGTGAAGACTCCACTGCCGATGCTGTCCTTGAACAGGAAGGGACCAGGAGTAACATGGATCTTCCAAGAAAGGGCAGCCCTGCTGCTCCAGGGGAATTCTGACTCACAGAAACATGAGTAATAAGTTTGAAGCCGCTATGTTTAAGGTAACTTGTTAGAGCAGCAACAGAAAACTGATACACATTTTCCAGGAGACAGACAGAGACACTAACTGGCAAGCCTCCTCTTCCAGCCTACACAGCTAAGGGTCAGCCCTAGTATTGGGCCTAACAATGAGGGAATTTGTCAGAACTCTCAAACTACCCCAAGCTCTGCGGAGTGAGACTGGGTCCCCTATGACAGGTACATGCCAGACAGAATATGTTTCAGCGCCCACAGGGCCACCAAGGAAATAAGGTCTGGCCACAGTATATTCATAATAAAAACTTGTAATTTGCTAAATATCTAACACACTGGTAGGTTTCAGCTAAACACACCATGTATGCCAGGCTCAATTTTTCCAATTACCGGATGAGACAAATAGAAATGTCTTCACACTGATCACTAAATAGGAATATGCCTTATACACTTGCCCACAGCCCAGTCTTAATAGAGATAGTTTCTCAGCTGAGGTTCCCTCCTCTGGTGACTCTGGTTTGTGTCAAGGTGATGTAAACCCAGCCTGTACAGGTGGGTTTTTCCATGTCAGTTAACCTAATCCAGATAATTTCTAACAGACCAGAGGCTGACCTAATCAAGATAAGCCCTAGAAGAGATGTCTAGACACAGACATGTCAGGCCTGTGTTATCTGATGCCAAAACTCATTCTTTTCTCCACACACCACTGATGTTTCAGAAGCACCTAAAGTGTTAATGTCTCGTGCATGTGTCACTCCAGGTCCCAGGTGTCACTGCCCTGTGTGGCTGGTGAGTAATAGCTCAGTTTCACTGACAGCTGCTCCCAACTGAATAACCCAAGACTCCTGACCTCCTCTCAGTCTCACCAGTTATTTTGGTTGAGATCTGGAAGCCATCTCCTGAGAATGCACGTGTGCGCACACACACACACACACACACACACACACACACACACACAAAGGCCTCACTGTTTTCCACAAAATAGCATCCCAGCCACTCATGTCCCAGAAAGTCCCCGGAGGAATGTGGCCAGGCCAGATGCACTTGTTGCTGCCGTGTTCTCTAACAGCACGATGCCTGGGCAATGGCTGCTCTCAGCCCTCCCCCGAGGATTGCATTGGTTTGGTCTCAATGTTTTTGTACCACCCAAATTCATGTGTTGAAACCTAATCATCAGAGTGATGGCAGGAGGCTGAAGATGGAGCTCAGCGGTAGAATGTGTGCCTAGCACCCACGAAGGCCTTGGATCAGGCCTCAGCACCGTATACACACAAAGAGAGAGGGGGTGAGAGCAAATATTGAGGCTGACAGGAAGTTATTTGACCACTGTTGATGGAATCAGGGCAGTTGTGAAAGGGTGACGCATGATGATATCATAGATTGCTAGGCAACCCAGAAGCAGGCTGCCTAAATACTAACTTTCGTCATAGATGAAAAATTAAGACTTGAAAAGGTAAGAGGCTTATCTAAGGTAGCTAAAGGCCAGAAGGGGCAGGACTGAACTCAGGGCTTTATTGTTATCCTAGTGTTAGGGTGAAGCCCATCGTAAGGAAAGGAAAGCTTCCTAGAAACTCAAGAACTAAGGGTGCCCTTGGTCTTAAACAGAACAAGCCAGGCGTGGTGGCACGTCTTTAATCCCAGCACACAGGAAGGCAGAGGCAGGTGGATCTCTATGAGTTGGAGGTCTGCCTGATCTACGAAGTGAATAGTGTATAGCCAAGGCTACACAGAGAAACCCTATCTCAACAAAGAAAAAAACAAAAACAAAAAGAACATCTGGCCAAATAAGAAATACTAGGGGGGAGGTTTTGCTTTCTTCATATGATATCAGCTACAGGGCCATCTCCCTTTCCCAAAGTGTAGCCTAGATGTTAGGTCTCAAGAAGGACTGAACTCAGTTGAGCAAAGAAACTTTGAAAAAGAAATAGAAAAGAATAAAGGCTGTGAATGACGTTTTATGAGCTAAAAATAATACTAATAATGAGTTGGCTCTCCAGTCAGGTTTGTGTTCCATGTTCACTAAAATAGAATATAGCAAAGATAATAAATATATAAAGAATAAAGTTCTTTCTCTGGAGCCTGCCAGCTTCCTCCAAATGCAACTCAATGTGGTGCGGCATGAAAGGCCTTTATATAAACCCCAGGCTCCTTAAAGAAAATCACTTCCCAAGTTACTTGGGCTGTGGCCTGCTCCTGCAGTCACAGACAAATCTGAGGTCCCTGAAGACTCCTATGAAAGAAAGGAAGGAAATCCTTTTATCTGGAGCTTGTGGGTGCCTGCTTAACCACAGGTAGAAGCAAGAATCCAAGGCAGCTCAATCTCACAAGGCATAAGACCTGTCCCTGGAAATGCCAGTGGGCATTAAAAAAACACATCCTAAAGCCAGAGCTAAATTTGAATTTCAGGTTCAAACATGTAACTCAGGAGGACAGAAGTGTTTCCTCGGCATTGCCAAGAGACTGCCTATGGGACTGTCATTGAGAATATGCTTATGCCCTGAAAGCATACGTGGAGATCTCTGTCCTGGCTCAGTAGGCTGATTGGACCCCAGATGGATGTCCCAGGAGACCTCCACTCACTGTGCCCTGTTGTAGGGGCTCCACAAGTACATAATGAATCAGTGAATCGAGAGACCTCGGCAAACTCACTCCATGCACCCCCATTCATTCCCTTCTCACCCCATTTCCCTGTCACTCAAAAACCAGCCTAGAGTCCTACACTCGTAATGGTGAAACAAGACCCAGCTGTTCTGGATCCAGAAAGCTCCTGTGAGGTCCTGCACTCATCCTTAAGAAGTGTGTGCATCCCCCTTGAGGCTTGGCAAGGGCCGAGCAGCAGGAGCACAGAGAGAAAGGCGAACAAAAAAGAAGGGGGCATCAGCACACTATTTTGAGAGCACAGTTCCCTGGCTTCAGATGAACTCTCCCCTCACGAAGAGTCTTGGGAATCTAGTTGCTTGCCTAAAACTCTTCTGAGGATCCCATCCACACAGAGGAATCAAAGGTTCAATCACTGCTGAGTTCAAATACCCGACCCTGGTCTCCCCTACCCTTGTGGTGCTATGTGAGTGATTTTAGTACGGCTGCACTGGCAGAATCACTTCACCAAAGTGCCCCCAAGTGCTTCTGACACTCCCGGAGAAGTCCAGTGATGAAGCTGCTGAGCTCCTGTTTTAAAGCCAGCCTGGTGTCTCCCATAACCCCTGCACTGGAGGCAGAAGACCCAAGAGTTCAAGCTCATCCCAGGTTACACAGCAAGTTCAGGACCAGCCTGTCTACACAGCAACAAAGCTATGAAGCAGCCTCTTTGACTGGTTGGTCCTGTCGAACTGCAGTCACGTGTGTCTAAGAGGCTGGTGGCCACATCAACACCTGGTAAGTCTTCACCCAGATGTTGTCGGCTCTGGCTGGCCAGTCTTTCCTTTGAGCCAGCTCTCATCTCATCCTCAGACCTCTGTGACTCTTCCCTAGCTTAGCTGACAGCTTTCCAGAGCTGTCCTCTTCCACACCCAACCGAAGTTCAAAATGATAATCTAAGACGGCTTTTCAAGCAGTCTTGGAGCTGCTTCCCAAACATCAGGTAACTTCTGCCTAAGCCCCTCCCCCGCTAAGAATGCCTGCTCGCCTCCTCCTTACTCCTCCAAATCATACCATATGGCAAAAGGAAAAAAAGAAAAAAAGAAAAGGAAAGGAAAAAGTAATACTCCAAGTCATGCATAATCTAGACGGTCTGAGCTGAGTTTGCATGCCCATTTCTTTGGCTACAGATTTTGGCTAGTAAAAATGATGATGGCCATGTAGATGATGGTGACGGTGACGATGATAGGAATATATTAAGTAGTTGTGAGAATTAGACAGAGTCTGCAAATTCCAGTTACAGTGCATGACCTGTGGCAGAACACCCAAGACGGCATCTCATTCTCTTCCCTGGAGCCTCTTCTTCTCTAGATGACCAGGTGGGCTGGAGATGAGGCAGTAACTTGGAGAGCCAAGCAGGAAGCCCTGTCTTCAGCATATGGCAACATCTGTCTTGTCTAGTGGCAGGACCCAGGTTACCTGGACCTCTCACAGGAATTCAGCACAGACTTTTTTGGGGGGAGGGGGTTCCCCATCTTCTCCTATATCTTTCATCTGTCCGCCCAAATCGGGTACAAGGCCCTGAGAGAAAGTGCACCTCATGCTGCAGCTACATATCCCATAAATCCTTGCGTACAGTAGGAATTCAGTACTTCACTGTAATGCTTGGTCTGTCTGTGGAAATGAAACCCTAGCAGGCACCACTCTGGCAAAGATTCCTCTCATCTTACAGGGTCCATAACCCACAGGAAGCTGCTTCTCCTTATACACAACACGGAGACCACATGCAAGATGTTGTCAAAACGCAGACACCTGGAAACAGCAGCGACATGGGCAGGAGTAACGAAAGATTTATTCCACTGCAAGCCAATCCCCAAGCTCACAAGACACTGGAAGGTCTAGGAGACGAGGGGACCATAACAGCAGAAGTGCTCCCTGTTCCTGGACACGAACCTATCACCTGGGCATCTACTCCCATCCTGAAAGCTAAATGAGACCTTACAGAGTCCCACTGTGCTCACCAGCATGCCACCATGTCAGCCATGATGAGAGCTACACAGCCCTCTCCACACTGTTGGAGTACCTGCCCAGCAGTGTTAGGCTAACTTGTCATTTAAAGGCTGGCTGTGACTGCCCTATATGGGAGCCACAACTTCTCTTAGACATAAACCAACTGCTTCCCCCCAGTCTCCATCTTCCTTGTAGTTAGCTCTTCCCTCACCATCAGTGACCAAGGAGCCCATCAGTGAATTTGAACATCCATGCCTGGTACGCCTTCTCACTTGTCTTCATTCATTCCTGCAGAGGCAAAAACAGGAAACCGGAAGCATTCAGAGGACAGAACGTACCCAAAGGTAGAAATGCCAACACATATGCAGAGTAAGTCACTTAAGCCATTCTACCATTCTTTCTATTCGCAAATTAGTATTAGAGGTCTTGCCAAGTAGGTGTGTGTGTGTGTGTGTGTGTGTGTGTGTGTGTGTGTGTGTGTGTGTACGTTGCTGAAGCTTGAACCTAGCACCTTGTGCATGCTAAGCAAACACCACTCTGCCATCACCAGCTACAACATCAGCCCTCAATGGAGGTTCTTATGTGAACAAACTTTATGCACTCAGGAGCGAAGACCAAGAAGACAGAGAAATCTCTAGCATTCGAAAGACCCACGTCTAACTGGACAACTGCAGGGAAATGATCACCTCTTCATCTACCCCCTTCCTCTTCTTCAACAACATCATCCTTGCGTGATAGAAAAGGCTGGTCCAGGTCTCTCCTGAGGTGCTCGCTGGTTCTGGGGCCTGGGGTTTGGCACGTGGTAATACAAGATGAATATTGCCTAGAAAGCTCTAAGAACGAGAAAAACAGTGCCCTTGGGTCAGTGAGGGAGGATGGGCTGCTGCTGGACTCTGCTGGGTGCTGAGCCCCTTACAGTGTGCAGGCCAGAAACCCTTAATAAAGGGACATCTGGCTCAGGACTGAGGCTGAGAATCCCTAGTTTAACAGCTTTTGGAGGCAAAGCTGAGATAAGTGCAGCAGTTCTAATACTCTTCTGTCTTGAGATAGGCTGGACTCATCACTAAAGGAATAGACTAGAAGTAGACAGTAGGACAGACCCTCGCAGTTCAAGCTAGAGAAGGGCACCATAGAGATACCTTAAAGTCAAGGCTCGCATGCCGAGGAAAGCTTTGGATGCCCACTCACAGTCTCTCTCCCTGGGAAGTGGAACAACCTTACTGTGTGTGGGCAAAGGAAACCTGTCAGGACACTCTACCTTCCAGCACGGAGAGGTGAGGGTGCAAGCTGAATACAGTGGAAGGCAGCCAGAAAACCCCCCTTTCCCACTCCCAATGCCCATGGCCTTAACGGAGCATCAGCATTCCACATTAACTGAGTCAGGCCAAGTGCAAGCACAGGTATGCTACCCAGAAGCCTGCCACTGGGGAGCAGGGAGCATTTTCCGGAAGAGGACCCCTCTCTGTGCCATGGGACTTCGTTTCAACTGTCTCTCCATTGAGAACTTCTTCCACCGTAGAGATGGTTGTTCCCAGGAAGGGATGGGACTCTGCTAGTCCATGCCTCTAAGGAAATCCAGGTTTGGGAAGTCTAACAACTGGACAGGTTAAGTTACACAGAAAGGAATTCTCACTGTCACCCCTTAGGACTTCGGATTTCCCCCCACTCTCTCCCCAGCCTTCCTGGTCCCTCAAAGCATCATCTTAAAATGTCAGCCCTTGAGCGAGATAGGCAGGGGGAGGCTCTAACTGTAGGTAGGCCTGCAAGGATCCTGACAAACTGACTGTACTTTTCAAGCTGCCTCCACACTGGAGTAGTTTTCTTCTCATGCAAGCATAAGCATAAAATAAAAATCTAACAAATTATGGACCGTGAAAGAATCCTATGAAGAAAGAGTAATTTTTCAAGGAGATCTTTGCTTTGACTTTATATGTACGGGGTATTTTGTCTGCATGCACGCCTGTGAACACATACATGCCTGGTACCTGCAGTAGTCAGAAGAGGGCATCAGATCCACTGGAACTGGAGCTACAGAAGGTGCTGGGCCACTGTGCAGGTGCTGGGAATTGAACCCGAGTCTTCGCAAGAGCAGCCAGTGCTCTTCACCACAGAGTCATCTCTCCAGCCCCAGAGTAGACAAAATTTCTTAACAGACAAAAATATGAGGAGAAAATACTTATTTGCTTTTTTTAACTTAATATTTTTATATTTTATAACAAAATCAATCCAAAACCTTGCTTTTAACACACGAAAGGTAACTAGACCTTACAATTTGCTCAGGAACTGTAACAGAAGCATTGTCTTTAGTTTAAGGACAGGCTAGGCTCTATAGTGAATGCCAAACCAAAAAGAGTTGATGAAGAGGAATAGGTTGGGGAGAAAAAAAAGAGTAAGAGGACGAGATGGAGGAGGAGGAGCAGACTGCAGCGTTAAGAGAAGGATGCAATTTTACAGTAGAATTAGAATCAATCTTTAAAAGAGAAGATTTAAGAATCCTTGGACCTGTGAGATGGCTCACTGAGTAAAGGCACTTGTGGCCAAGCCTGAAGAGCTGAGTTCAATCCCTAGGGTCCACATGGTGGAGGAAGAAAGGCAACTCCTGTAAGTCTGTATCTGGCTGGGATACAGCTCAATGGTACAGTGCGTGCCTAGCATTCTCCAATGGCTGGTTTTAATCCAAGCACTTCAAAAGTCAATCAACTACAAGGTAAAAAAAAAAAAAAAAAAATCAGAAAACTAAACTATGTCAAAAATAAATAACAACATCTCACCCAGAATCACATGAAAATGGCAGAGAAGAAAATATTAAAAAGGATAATTGTATCGTTGGCTCTCAACCTTAAATAAAATTATTCTTGTTACTTCTTCATAACTGTAATATTGCTACTGTGATAAGTCACAATGCAAATATTTTGGAAGACGGGTTTTTCAAAGGAGTCACGATCCACAGGTTGAGAACCACTAGCCTGTATGAACGACAAAAACAAACCAGTATGAGTAGCTGATGCTCTTTCACAAAAGAAAAGAAAGGAATATTGCAAAATAATACTAAAGCAGGAAGTCCGGGGAGTAGAATAAGGATTGCCTTGACTAATAGACTGTGGTAAGAAAAGACTCCTAAGGCCAGGTCATAAAGGCCCATGTGCTACCTGCACACCTACAACGCTAGCCCTCAGGGAAGCTAGAGCAGAAAAACCACAAGTCGGGCCAGCCCGAGCAAGACCCTGTCTCAGACAGACAAAATCCAAGAGAAAGCCCCATGGTTCTGTAAGAACGTTCTCTAGAAAGCCTGCCACCATGCCATGAGAAGGTCGGGAAGCCAAACAGGGAGGCCACGTGTGAGTGTTCGGGCTGATTTTCTGTAACAAGGGTCCCAGGCACGGCCTGCTCGGAAGGCTGAACACCTGAGTGAGCCTTCGGCTCGAGCCTCTGAATCACCTCTGGCCTTCAAGCAACCCTGAGGGATATTGAGCAGTACAAGCTATCTTTACCAAGCCCTGACCAACGCGGAGGTTCATAAGCAGACGAGTGACTGCTGCTGTTCTGAGCCGCTGTGTTTGAGGGCTTCGTTATGCAACAACAGATAACTTGAATACCAACCAAAGAATTCCCAACTAAAAAGAGAGAGGAGGTGGTGGACTGCAGTGACTTGCTGCGGCTGCCTGGGAACGGAGATGTGGTGGGGGCAGGGGAAACAGAAGGTCCAGGCTCCGTCCTTCCCTCGCGGCATCATGAAATTGCTCTGGACCCTGAGGATGCTAAATCTGCAGAGTATGTTTCCAAATCGCCACTGTGGTCGTCTAAGGCACCCTCTAGCCATCACCTGATGATCAAACTGGCTTTTGGGAAAGTTTCCTATGTGAACGCCCCCATGCAAGATGCTACATTTCTTCATGCTGTGGATGAGGGCATCTTTCCATGTTTACAGCTTGGCTTTGAGAGTTATTTTCCAGGGATCACTTAGAAGAGATTAACAGGGAAGATTTGTTTGAAGAAAACCATCTTGGAGCTGTGACAGCTACAGTTCCCAAGGTGTTGGGGGAGAAGACAGTCAGAGATTACCAAAGACTTCTTTCTTAAAGCTACTGATGTCCTTCTACTTCTTGTGGTTCCCAAAGCCTTGCTTCAAATGCTCCTGAGCTAACTGGTTTTCTACCTTCCTGAGGCTGTCTCACAAGCAGAGTCATGCACAGCCTCAGGAGAACCACCAGACATGCTTTTTAGGCCCTTCAGCACCTTTACATGCAGGCTGATTCCTCTCTGATTTACAACCTGGGAGTCCCAGAGCATCAGTAAAGACGCGGTGGTGCCATGTGATAGGTCCGAGTGGGCCCTGCGAAAGGAGCAGGGAGAGAATCTCCTAACACCCTACCCCTCCCCCCAAACAAAGGGATCCCTCTGAAAAACAATACGGAGAATTATTTTAAAACTAAAAACAGAGTCCCATGTGCCCCCAGTAATCTCACTAGAGAGTACAGAGCCGAAGAAAACGAAATCAAAGAGTATCGCAGAGATACTTATACCCCTTTGGTCATTGCAGCACCGTTCACAATAGCCAAATATGAAATCAACACAGGTGCCCATGAGTGCACATGTGAATAAAAAAAAAAAAAATGGGGGGGGAGGGTAGGTGCAAAATGGCCCTACTATTCACCCGTTTAAATGTTGTCCCTTGCATCAAGGTAGAGCTAGAAGCCATCATGTTAAACTTAGTAAGGCAGGCACAGGAAACGTGCTGCATGTTCTCATTTGTGGAAACTAAAATACCCATGACACAGTAGGGAACAGAACATTGACAGCAGAGACGGAGAAGGGAAGGGGACGGGGAGGGTTGGAAAGAAGATACCAGAGCACAGCTACATAGAAAGAACAGTTCTGGTGCTTTGCTGCTGAGGGTAACTGCAGCCTACAACCTACAATATCTTTCATCGCAGCCACAGACCTTCAGCACATTGAGATGATTCATGTTTGAGTGAAACGGAAATGCTAGCTGCTTCAATTTGCTCATTACTCTTTGTGTTCCTGTATGGAACTGTTAAGTTATAACTGGTTTTCTACCTACCTGAGGCTGTCTCACAAGCAGAGTCATGCACAGCCTCAGGAGAACCACCAGACATGCTTTTAGGCCCTTCAAGCACAAACATTTACGAACACCGTGTGTTCAAAACAGTCAAACAGCAGGGTCTGAAGATACCCGCACAGCTGCAATCCCAGCACTCAGGAGGCAGAAGCAAGAGGATCACAAGTTCAAGGTCAGCCTGAGATGCTTAGCCAGACTCTGTGTCAAAACTCAATATAACAACAAAAGAGTGGATGAGCGAGTACAGATGGTCCCCAGGCACTGACAGTTTGGGCTTATGATTTTTCAATTTTGCTGTGATGTGAAAGGACTATACATTCTGTAAAATGCATAGTTGGACTCCTAACCACAAAGTCATCATTCTCAGAAGACATGGGGATCTGAGAAGGAGCAGAAGATCCCAAACAATTCCCGTATATAGAAGAAAAGGTAGTAAAAAAAAAAAAAACAATAATAAATCTAATAGGAACAGTAGCACAGAATCGCTGTGTACCGTGAAGCAAACATAACTCTCTCCGCTCCAGTCTACCACATAGGAAGCATTTGACTAACACAAGTTAAATGTGAAAATAAAATAAGACCTTACACTGGAAAGTTGGAGATTGTTCTCCACCTCCTCACAACAGAGGCTGAAGTAAGAGGTGTTGTCAGGAGATGGACATTGGCTTGGCTCACACATTTCTTACACGTGAGAGAGAGAGAGAGAGAGAGAGAGAGAGAGAGAGAGGCAGTCACAGGCAGCTCTGCCTTGACGGTGACTGGGATACAGCTGGGATACAGCTCAATGGTACAGTAAGTCCCAACAGCTTTCCATCTTTATAATCACCAGCACACAGCTCCTTCCTCAAGCTCATCTCATTCCAGCTCATTATCTTATCAGCATGCATTAAGTGCACAAAATAAGGAGTTTTCTGATGATACTGCATGATGATATGTCCACAATATATTCCGATGACATATACCTGCCTCTGTTGCTGACTCTGATCCCACTAGTGCCCTGAAGCTTGTACCATAATCCAAGATGGCTGCCACAACACCAGCCTTTAACGCCTGCTTTCCCCATAAAGTGGAAGGATGGAGTTGGGAGACGGGAAGTCTGCATTCTCTGACTGTACTTCCTTTTAAAATGCTTTCCCAGAATTCTCACCCAACAGCTTCCTAATGCCTCATTGGCCAGCACAAACTCACATGACAACTTCCAGCAGCAAAGCCATTAGGAAGTGATCTCATTACTGAGCACACTGCCATCCAAATGAAATCAGAGTCCCAGCAGTACATCAAAAGAAGCTAGCTCCGGATATTGGTTAGACGACCAGCAATCTGACCATAGAGAGGAGCTAAACTTTATTATGTACCAGCTCCCTGCCAGATACTTCTCATAAATTTCTCACTTAATCCTAATAATAAACCAGAAAGATTTCAAAGTAATCATTACATTTACAGATAAGGAAATGGGATCAAAGAGCATATGCAGTTCCACCCTGCACATGGGACAGATTTAAGCCGGGCCTGAGTTTGAAACGTGAACTCACTCTGCCATACTGTTTCCTCTAAGGAAAAGTACTTTGTGACTCTTTCCAGTGCTGTGTATGTCTTTAAAACTCCCATTCTGTTAAGGTGCTTCAGTGGTTTCTCCAGAGAGAATATGGGAATGACTGGTTATTTGGTGAAGCCCGCGACATTAAACTGCAGGTCCTTTCAGTTGGTAGAGCAGAAGCAGCCTCCAAGTCTCCGCACACAGAGGTCCCTAGCAGATGTGTCAGTGTTTGGAAAGCATTTCCTGGCCCCTCTCCCCAGCAGTTAGGATAAACAGACACCAAAGGTCATTTCTGCAGAAAGCTGTGCTGGATGAGCACTCCAGCCAGCAGGCCTATTCTGCCCTGCCGCTACCACCTTTGATGTTGGGGGAAGGGAGAAAGGTTTTTTTCCTGTGTCCTCTCCCTATTCATTCTGAAAGGATGGTGCTGCCCTAAACACAAAGGAGCCTTGTCCAAATTCAGCAGCTCTACTGACATCCTGGAAGACGGGAGAGGTGTAAAGCAAGGAAGGAAACAGAAATGTCCCA